ATTCCTGTCCCTATTTCACGGAGACATTAACAAGGTTTCTATTACAAATTCGGGCCGAGCACCCATTGGGCCTGGGAAAAACCCCCGAATATTGAAATTCCCTACGCAACTAGTTTTACAAATTAAAAAGGGGCGTCTCCCGGGCGTCCCTACGGCTCTTCCACACCCCCCTTCACTTAAAATTTCTGAAGGGTACAAATAGCACCTTTAATACGCAATTATTATTTATAATTATTTTTAAATTTTAGGAAATTATGTACTTAATTTCCAAATATATTTACATCCATACGGACGAATTTCTTCATCAAGTCTTAAAAACCCTTTTAAAGAGAATCTCCGCTTAGGGGGTGTTTTTTTCCCTTTTGTGAAAGACGACGGCGTAAAATCGCCTCCATTCCTTGCGGGATGAGTCACACGGGTTTAGCGCTTCCTTAAAAAGAAATTTTAAAATTCCTTTGTATAACGAAAACAAAGTCAAATTACCTTGAATTTAAAAAAAAAAAAATTTTGAATAAAATCCTTATAAAAGATTCATCGGCGTTGTTTATGTAAAGCAGAAAGGGGACCAAACTGTTTTTATTTTGACTTGACATTGATATGAATTTGCAAAAAACGTTTAAAGGAATTTTATTTTTATTAGTTATTATTCAAGATTAAAAATTTGTAAAAAACCTTTAAAAAAAAGATATTTTTTATGTATTTCAAAACACAAATTTTCTACGTTTAGAGTGTTGACAAAATTGGGTTACAATAAAAATATCAAAAATTGGAGGCAATAAAGTCGCACTTGAGCAAAAAATTTTAAAGATGAAAAAAAAACCTTCGCAAATATACCAAATTTTTAAGGGAATGGACCGGTGGCCAGCCTGGGCCTCGGTCGAGACCAAAGGTCACTGGGGTTCTTAAACAAACTCGGGGCAGAAAAATTTTCCCTTTTTCCCTGACAAACCCTCCCTAATTTTTTTGCCCTCGATGAATTTCAGTAGACTGAAACGCTAAAAGATGTTTCGCACCATATTAAAAGAAAATCTTCGCTCATCTAAGTGATGAATTGCATCATGAGTAAAGGAAAAAATGAGATTCTTGCTGAATAAAATAGGATTCCTGAAAAACCTCACAGGTTTCCCTTTTAATCAATCGCAAGATTTTTTTGAACTTCGCAGGGTTAATGTTTATCACCTAGGTTTTGTTTAAATTTCACAGTAACGGGGAAACCCAAAAGTGAGCAGGGCCCCATGACCAGTACACGTTGCCCAACATTGGTTTGTTTCTAAATTTCAGGAAAAAAAACATTACAACGTTTATTAAGGGTTACCACCTGTGCTGAAAAGGGGGAGCAAGTGGCCCCTTTAAATAGGTACATAGGGCCATGACAAAGTGATAACCTCTTGAAAAAGCAACTATGGGCCCGGAAAGGATCGGAAACCCAGGAAAAAATTTTTATGAAAGATTTAAATCTGTAAACCCCAAATTATTATTGCTATACTGTCCCGCAAGTTGGAGTTGATTCGCTCAAATTTTTTAAAACATAAGCCCTTTTTAGGGATTTTTCTGTTTAATATCATAAGACAAAAAGAAGTAGTCAAGATAAAACCCAAGATAACAGAATTTTTTATTAGGACAAAAATAAAAAAAGAATAAATGACTGTAAAATCGGTCCCCGACCTAACCCAAAATTCCCCTGTGCTTGGGGTAAGTTGGTGGGCGATAAAAAATCAAGGGGGGAGAGAGGGAAATTTAAAAAAAAACGCTTTAAAATAGCAAAATTTTTCCTAAAAACTGAAGACCTGCCACGATTTTTTAAAGTGAAACCACTGAGGTTAGACGATTTTGGAGCCGAGGAACTGTTCAAAACAAAAAACGGTTGATGCAGCAAGCAATTGTGCTGTAATGAAAGTCTGTATTTACTGGGAAATTTTGGGAAATTTTATGATGCCCCCGCTTAAATATCTGCATTGTAGCGGAATGTCCACGTGTTGCAAAGGTGTGAGATTCCAAAGGGTATGTTCCTCAATGGCCGAATAGTAAAAAGCAGGGGGGGGTAATAATTTTGAGAAGCGGGCACCCCGCTTTTTTGTCAAATTTAAAATTTTTAAAATTTATAACTCTCAAGTTCATGTTTACTATTTTTAATGAAAAAAATGATAAAAATGCCTGAACTGTTTTCCCGTGTTGATGTGTAGCAGTGTTTCCGTGTTGAACTTTGGTTACCCCCTAGTGGTCATCCACATCATCTAGAGCTAATCCTGTCATCCCTCGTCCTTAGAGCTAACTCCATTTATTTTTTTTATATAAAAAGTAACCTTTTTCCCCTATCCTCTCTCTCTCTCCCCCTCTCATTTACAGGATTTTTAAAAGTTAGTTTAAGGTTCCTACTTTATTTAAAGTTAAAAACTGTTTCTATGGTATTTGAAAAATTTTTTTTATGAAAAAATACAAAACAAGGGGAAAAAAATGAAGTTGGAGCCTTATGGGGCAGCGTTTATTAATCAATTGACTTTTTTTCAGATGTTTTTATGGTCTAAAATGATCTTGATTCGAGTCATTTAGGGAAAGAGACTCATATGAACCAGTTCTTAAGAAGGGTACAGCCCCAGTGTAGTTGCTGTTGTTGCCCTTTTGTATAAATGTGTTTCTCACCTACGCGAAATTGGGCCCCTGGGCACCCGGGAAAAAATTTTTTTTACTAACCCCTAAAACAAACCCATCTTCGTGATGAAAGTTTGTTGAAAGAAGATCTATCAGACAGGTCAGGCGACCCGATAGCCCGGGCCCTTCTCTATTTCTATGAAATCCGAGAAAAAAGGGGTAGGGCGGCTGATTTTTTACAAAGATTTACTACATTGAAAATTTGGGTTCAAATTTATCCCCAAGATACTACCCCATTCCAGGTTCCCTCACTCTCCCCCTTCATTTTGCCTTGAGCCATCTGTGTTTTTCCCGAAGCAAATGTAATCTGCCCTTGTTTTTTCAAGGTTGATGTACCCGAAAAAAGCTGGGATTTCCTTCTTGGATTTGTAATGTAAGGTACAGTATTTGATATACAAGACCCCTTTTTTGATTATTAAAGCTTTTTGAAGTAGACATTTTATAACAATGGCCTCAGCAATTTTCCGAGGAACCCCTAGCATCGATAGTGTGTCTTTTATCTTTGAAACCCCTTAGAACCACCTTTACATAGTCACTAAAGAGAGTAGTGCAAAGCCCGAGACTCTAGTGTTGGGGTTTTGTTAAGAGTCCTTGGGATATTCGAATAAAAGGCCGCTTAACAAAGATGTTGGATACCTCCAGGACTGATGCCAGGGGGGGGAAGTTTAACAGTAGATTAGCCTGTCCTTTAAAGTATATTGCCCAGGAATTTTGCCCAAAGATTTTTAGGAAGCCCTGGGCTGAGTTGTGTTCAGTTTGCTCTTCCACAGAAAACATTTACCCCCGTGCTAACAGATTTAAAATCGAGTTAGTGATGTAGCTGGGCTTCCCTTTTTTCCCGCCTGCCTTATTGTCATCTTGACAACATGACACTAGCTAGTTCTTGGGGCTGCATAGGTTCCCTTTCTCGACCGGGGTCGCATCTTTGTAAATCAAGAACGTACAGACAGTAACAACATCGTACAGAACACAAAAAATCAGAAAAATAACCAAAAGATCAGTACCAGGTACACAGAAGATCAAACAGTAGTAAAAAAGATCAGACAGAACCAAAAGACCCGTACATAAAAAAGAAATCAGACGTCTGCACAAAGATCATACAGAAGTAACACAGAGATCGTACATAACCGAAGTTCGTCAGAACACAGAAGTCATACAGTACATAACACAGAAGAGACAAATCAAAACCCAAACCCTGGTACTGCCAGGAGGCTGGGGTGGGAAAAAACATCACGTGGGTACTGTCAGGGAGGTGGATGGAAAAAATCCCGTGGCTACTGTCAGGGAGGTGGAGGGGAAAAACCCCCGTGGGTAATGTCAGGGAGGGGGAGTGGGAATAAATCACCGTGGCTACTGTCAGGGGACTGGGAAAGGGAAAAACTCAATGGCTATGTCAGGAGGGAGGGTGGAAAACATCCCGGGTTACGTCAGGGAAAAGGAGTGGGAAAAACCCACCGTGGGTACGTGGGGGGAGGGGGGGAATAAAATCACCCTGGCTACTGTCGGGGGAAATGGAGTGGGGGTAAACCCCCAGGGGTACTTCACGGGGTTGGTGGGGGTAAAATCACCGTGGGTACTGTCAAAGGGGGCTGAAGTGGAATAACGCCCCCGGGCATGTCAAGGAGGCTGGAAGGGGGGAAAAATCACCGTGGCTACTGTCAAGGGGGCTGGGGGGGAATAAAAGCCCCCGTGGTACGCAGGGAGGTGGAGTGGAATAAAAATCCCGGGCAGTCAGGGAGGCTGGGGGTGGGAATAACGCCACCGTGGCTACTGTCATTGGACGCAGGAGTGGGAATAACATCACCGTGCTACCTGTCCAGGGAGGCTGGAGGTGGGAATAACGTCACCCAACCGGGCTACTGTCAGGGACTCAGGAGTGGGAATAACACACCGTGGCTAACTGTCAGGGAGGCGTGGAGTGGAATAAACCACAATAGCTACTGTTTAGGTCGACGCTATTTTGAATCCAAATCATGAATCCAAATCTTGAAATTCTGAATAGTAATAATAATAAAACAATAAAATTATTTGCGAACGACTGTCAGCCTCAGAGTTATCACTGAGTTACCAGACATTGCCGACTTGATGGCCAGTGGTTCGTCTTTAATGGTCCCCCCCCTCGCCTTCCCCAGGTTCAATGTGTCCAGGAATCCATCCGATGGCCCCCCGGATGTCTCGTCTCCCCTTTCTCAGTTCCCCTAAGGTCAGCCTCGCCTCTCTCACTCTATCTCTCTCTCGTCTCTCTGCCTGCCAGCCTCAGTCTTTCTATCCCCATGGTTCATGTGTCCAGGAATCCATCCGTTCGCTCCCGGATGTCTCCCCTTCCCCACTTACCCAAGGTCAGCCTCAACCACAACCTACCCCAAGTTCATGAATCCAGGAATCCATCCGTTCGCTCCCGGATGTCTTCCCTTCCCCACTTACCTAAGGTCGGCGGTGCCTTCCCGGATCAGTGTCTCCAGGAGTCTGCTTGTGTCACCTGAGTGGACTCCCTTCCCCACTTCCTCTGAGTCAGCGGTATTCTTGCTTTCCTTAGGATCATGTATCCAGGAATCCATCCGTCTACCGCCGGATGTCTCCCCTTCCCCACTTACCCAAGGTCAGCCTCAACTTCAAGTATTCATGCCTTCCCCAGGTTCATGTATCCAGGAATCCATCCGCTCGCTCCGGATGTCTCCCCTTCCCCACTTACACAAGGTCAGCCTCAACTGCATGTATTCATGCCTTCCCCAGGTTCATGTATCCAGGAATCCATCCGCTCGCTCCCGGATGTCTCCCCTTCCCCACTTACACAAGGTCAGCCTCAACCACAACCTTCCCCAAGTTCATGAATCCAGGAATCCATCCGCTCGCTCCCGGATGTCTTCCCTTCCCCACTTACCTAAGGTCGGCGGTGCCTTCCCCGGATCAGTGTCTCCAGGAGTCCACTTGTGTCACCTGAGTGGACTCCCTTCCCCACTTCCTCAGAGTCAGCGGTATTCTTGCTTTCCCCAGGATCATGTATCCAGGAATCCATCCGTCTACCGCCGGATGTCTCCCCTTCCCCACTTTCCCAAGGTCAGCCTCAACTTCATGTATTCTTGCCTTCCCCAGGTTCATGTATCCAGGAATCCATCCGCTCGCTCCGGATGTCTCCCCTTCCCCACTTACCCAAGGTCAGCCTCAACTGCATGTATTCTTGCCTTCCCCAGGTTCATGTATCCAGGAATCCTTCCGTCTACCGCCGGATGTCTCCCTTCCCCACTTACCAGGTCAGCCTCACTGCATGTATTCTTGCTTCCCCAGGTTCATGTATCCAGGAATCCATCCGTCTACCGCCGGATATCTTCCCTTCCCCACTTACACAAGGTCAGCCTCAACTGCATGTATTCATGCCTTCCCCAGGTTCATGTATCCAGGAATCCATCCGCTCGCTCCCGGATGTCTCCCCTTCCCCACTTACCCAAGGTCAGCCTCAACCACAACCTTCCCCAAGTTCATGTATCCAGGAATCCATCCGCTCGCTCCGGATGTCTTCCCTTCCCCACTTACCTAAGGTCGGCGGTGCCTTCCCCGGATCAGTGTCTCCAGGAGTCCACTTGTGTCACCTGAGTGGACTCCCTTCCCCACTTCCCCAGAGTCAGCGGTGCCTTCCCCGGATCAGTGTCTCCAGGAGTCCACTTATGTCACCTCAGATGGACTCCCTTCCCCACTTCCCCAGAGTCAGCGGTGCCTTCCCCGGATCAGTGTCTCCAGGAGTCACTTATGTCACCTCAGTGGACTCCCTTCCCCACTTCCCCAGAGTCAGCGGTGCCTTCCCCGGATCAGTGTCTCCAGGAGGGCACTTATGTCACCTCAGGTGACTCCCCTTCCCACTTCCCAGAGTCAGCGGTTGCCCCTTCAGTGACCTCTGCTCATGGAAACTTTCTTGTCAGCTGGTCTACGGTAGAGACTGTCCAGGTGGGTGGAATTACTGGAGGTGACACCACACAGAAAACTGCGTCCAGTAATTACACCACCAAGACAGCCGCGACCGTAGGTCAGCTAGGACGCCACAAGCTGCCTCACAGTTCCGCCACCTCCGAGAGGCTAATTAACGTAAATTTTGGAAATCCTTTTATATTACAGTATGAATTTAGTCTAAGTACGAGATTTTCTTGCTTATTTATCAGTTTAAAAGTATTTGTAAGTGTTTTATTTTATGTAGATGAATGTCCAAGTGTTGAAGAACTTTTCCACCTCCATCAAAACTGTATTAAATATTACACGTTTTCAAATTT